AAAACTCTCTTTGTTTGGGCACGGCAGTGAAAAAAAAAACGCATGAGCTTTTTGACCTGACCTACCAGGCTCTTTATTAAGAAAGCAAGCTCTAATTTCTTCATATTTAAATTAAACACTTCATATTTAAATGGTATTAGATGATTTGTTTGGCTTCACTGGCTTCTGTGAAGCGATGACCTAAAATGACGCATGAGGCCGTTCCTGGAAATGGGAAGGCTGTTTGCAGCGAGCTGCAGTCGGGCTGATGGTGGGCGACTACCTGTCTCTGCAACTCCTCGTTAGTATAGTGGACAGTATCTCCGCCTGTCACGCGGAAGACCGGGGTTCGATTCCCCGACGGGGAGACCTAGCCCTTTATTGCTGCCCAAAGACCCATAAAAAAGTTTTGCTCCAGCCACGAGTTAAAGGAGGAGTTGGCCATGGGCAAAAGGCTTTGCGTTGGCCGGGAATCGAACCCGGGTCAACTGCTTGGAAGGCAGCTATGCTCACCACTATACCACCAACGCAGGCAGTTGGAGATAGACTAGATGTGTGGTCAGCAAGAATGCTCACACACTAATTGTGCGGTCAACAAGAATGCTTGCAACACATTGTGTGTTCATATTTAAATTAACACTTCATATTTAAATGGTATTAGATGATTTGTTTGGCTTCACTGGCTTCTGTGAAGCGATGACCTAAAATGACGCATGAGGCCGTTCCTGGAAATGGGAAGGCTGTTTGCAGCGAGCTGCAGTCGGGCTGATGGTGGGCGACTACCTGTCTCTGCAACTCCTCGTTAGTATAGTGGACAGTATCTCCGCCTGTCACGCGGAAGACCGGGGTTCGATTCCCCGACGGGGAGACCTAGTCCTTTATTGCTGCCCAAAGACCCATAAAAAAGTTTTGCTCCAGCCACGAGTTAAAGGAGGAGTTGGCCAGGGGCAAAAGGCTTTGCGTTGGCCGGGAATCGAACCCGGGTCAACTGCTTGGAAGGCAGCTATGCTCACCACTATACCACCAACGCAGGCAGTTGGAGATAGACTAGATGTGCGGTCAGCAAGAATGCTCACACACTAATTGTGCGGTCAACAAGAATGCTTGCAACAAATTGTGTGTTCATATTTAAATTAAGCACTTCATATTTAAATGGTATTAGATGATTTGTTTGGCTTCACTGGCTTCTGTGAAGCGATGACCTAAAATGACGCATGAGGCCGTTCTGGAAATGGGAAGGCTGTTTGCAGCGAGCTGCAGTCGGGCTGATGGTGGGCGACTACCTGTCTCTGCAACTCCTCGTTAGTATAGTGGACAGTATCTCCGCCTGTCACGCGGAAGACCGGGGTTCGATTCCCCGACGGGGAGACCTAGCCCTTTATTGCTGCCCAAAGACCCATAAAAAAGTTTTGCTGCAGCCACGAGTTAAAGGAGGAGTTGGCCATGGGCAAAAGGCTTTGCGTTGGCCGGGAATCGAACCCGGGTCAACTGCTTGGAAGGCAGCTATGCTCACCACTATACCACCAACGCAGGCGGTTGGAGACAGACTGGATGCCAGTTTGTGCGGTCAGCAAGAATGCTCGCAACACATTAGCAGCTGGTAGGTGCAGTGGATCAAAAACTCTCTTTGTTTGGGTCCGGCAGTGGATCCAAAACTCTCTTTGTTTGGGCACGGCAGTGAAAAAAAAAAACGCATGAGCTTTTTGACCTGACCTACCAGGCTCTTTATTAAAAAAGCAAGCTCTAATTTCTTCATATTTAAATTAAACACTTCATATTTAAATGGTATTAGATGATTTGTTTGGCTTCACTGGCTTCTGTGAAGCGATGACCTAAAATGACGCATGAGGCCGTTCCTGGAAATGGGAAGGCTGTTTGCAGCGAGCTGCAGTCGGGCTGATGGTGGGCGACTACCCGTCTCTGCAACTCCTCGTTAGTATAGTGGACAGTATCTCCGCCTGTCACGCGGAAGACCGGGGTTCGATTCCCCGACGGGGAGACCTAGTCCTTTATTGCTGCCCAAAGACCCATAAAAAAGTTTTGCTCCAGCCACGAGTTGAAGGAGGAGTTGGCCAGGGGCAAAAGGCTTTGCGTTGGCCGGGAATCGAACCCGGGTCAACTGCTTGGAAGGCAGCTATGCTCACCACTATACCACCAACGCAGGCATTTGACTGGATGCCAGTTTGTGCGGTCAGCAAGAATGCTCGCAACACATTAGCAGCTGGTAGGTGCAGTGGATCAAAAACTCTCTTTGTTTGGGTCCGGCAGTGGATCCAAAACTCTCTTTGTTTGGGCACGGCAGTGAAAAAAAAACGCATGAGCTTTTTGACCTGACCTACCAGGCTCTTTATTAAGAAAGCAAGCTCTAATTTCTTCATATTTAAATTAAACACTTCATATTTAAATGGTATTAGATGATTTGTTTGGCTTCACTGGCTTCTGTGAAGCGATGACCTAAAATGACGCATGAGGCCGTTCCTGGAAATGGGAAGGCTGTTTGCAGCGAGCTGCAGTCGGGCTGATCGTGGGCGACTACCTTTCTCTGCAACTCCTCGTTAGTATAGTGGACAGTATCTCCGCCTGTCACGCGGAAGACCGGGGTTCGATTCCCCGACGGGGAGACCTAGCCCTTTATTGCTGCCCAAAGACCCATAAAAAAGTTTTGCTGCAGCCACGAGTTAAAGGAGGAGTTGGCCATGGGCAAAAGGCTTTGCGTTGGCCGGGAATCGAACCCGGGTCAACTGCTTGGAAGGCAGCTATGCTCACCACTATACCACCAACGCAGGCGGTTGGAGACAGACTGGATGCCAGTTTGTGCGGTCAGCAAGAATGCTCGCAACACATTAGCAGCTGGTAGGTGCAATGGATCAAAAACTCTCTTTGTTTGGGTCCGGCAGTGGATCCAAAACTCTCTTTGTTTGGGCACGGCAGTGAAAAAAAAAAAAAAACGCATGAGCTTTTTGACCTGACCTACAAGGCTCTTTATTAAAAAAGCAAGCTCTAATTTCTTCATATTTAAATTAAACACTTCATATTTAAATGGTATTAGATGATTTGTTTGGCTTCACTGGCTTCTGTGAAGCGATGACCTAAAATGACGCATGAGGCCGTTCCTGGAAATGGGAAGGCTGTTTGCAGCAAGCTGCAGTCGGGCTGATGGTGGGCGACTACCCGTCTCTGCAACTCCTCGTTAGTATAGTGGACAGTATATCCGCCTGTCACGCGGAAGACCGGGGTTTGATTCCCCGACGGGGAGACCTAGTCCTTTATTGCTGCCCAAAGACCCATAAAAAAGTTTTGCTCCAGCCACGAGTTCAAGGAGGAGTTGGCCAGGGGCAAAAGGCTTTGCGTTGGCCGGGAATCGAACCCAGGTCAACTGCTTGGAAGGCAGCTATGCTCACCACTATACCACCAACGCAGGCAGTTGACTGGATGCCAGTTTGTGCCGTCAGCAAGAATGCTCGCAACACATTAGCAGCTGGTAGGTGCAGTGGATCAAAAACTCTCTTTGTTTGGGTCCGGCAGTGGATCCAAAACTCTCTTTGTTTGGGCACGGCAGTGAAAAAAAAAACGCATGAGCTTTTTGACCTGACCTACCAGGCTCTTTGTTAAGAAAGCAAGCTCTAATTTCTTCATATTTAAATTAAACAGTTCATATTTAAATGGTATTAGATGATTTGTTTGGCTTCACTGGCTTCTGTGAAGCGATGACCTAAAATGACTTATGAGGCCGTTCCTGGAAATGGGAAGGCTGTTTGCAGCGAGCTGCTGTCGGGCTGATCGTGGGCGACTACCTGTCTCTGCAACTCCTCGTTAGTATAGTGGACAGTATCTCCGCCTGTCACGCGGAGGCCAGTCGCGCGTAGGTGTAGAGCGCTGCCAGCCAATAGGAACGCAGGAAATTCCAGGGAGGCGGGCCAGAAAAAATTCACAAAATCATAGGTTCGAGTCCCGTCTCGACCACAAATACCATAAAGTGTATCTAGATTAAAAAAATGATTACAAATTCATCCCGAGTACAATTTACATAATATACTAACTTTGTGCACAAAATAAAATAAAACTTGTAAGATTTGTTCTGGTGTAGGATTTACAAAATGTCCAATTCTCTTAATAAACATTTAAATTATAATAGGGTATGTTTCTCTTTTAATATAGAAAATATTTGGATGTGAATAATTGTAAAGAACATTTTGATAATGTTTTAGACCTTTATTTTTTAGAGATTTTCACATTATATTTGTTTAACTTTGCACAGAAATCCAATATATAAATGAAATACAACCAGAAAACACCAAATAGTAATTTTCTCATTTTATTTATAGTAAAATAATATACATATTATATGTAAAACTGAAAAAGGTAATGTATTAAATACTTATAGATTAAACAACAATAACATTAATAATAATAACATACAAAGCTTTGGAGAACACAGGAAAAGAACAAGATTTATTTAAAATTAAATAATTATGTACAGCGTTTTATTATAACAGTTATTAACATTTAGTGTTTACACAACTGAGCAAGATAAAATAATGCAAGTCAATAAAATTAACTTTAAAAACACACTAAAGTGCAATGCAAACAAGGACAAAACTTTTTAATTTTAATGAACAATGGAAATAAATTTAACAATTTAAAAGGATAGATTAAACAACAGCAATAATAATATCTAAAGTTAAGGAGAAAAAAACAAGAAATATGTTTAAATAAAATGATTCTGTACAGACTTTAATAGTAACATTACTTAATATTTAGTGTTTTACAAATCAGAGAAAGAAAAACTAATGGAAGTCAATAAATGAACTTTAAAACCCACCCCCACCCACACCAAAATACAATGCAATGCAATAAAATACAATACTTTTGGTATTTTAATGAACAAATTGAAACAAATTAAATATATATATATTAAAAGTGCAATAATATGTAGATAAATATATGTTTAACATTGTGCAAGGAATGTCTTTGTGCTATAAACAGTATTTGAGGTCTGGGCATGTCATTTGCCAATAAAGTCATTTTTTTCTTTTCCTCAATCCACTCTTCTTCTCGGCCTCATAGAATGGAGACTGCTGAAAGTCTCTCCATGACATTTCTGTGCTCATTCCCTGAGCCTGATAAAGGGAAAACACTTTAGCAGGACAGTAAATGTATTTGCCTGCCACTCCAGGGAAACCAGTGTGAATATGAGGACTGTTTGGCCTTGTTTCAGTGGCAGGTGGCAGAATCTGCACAGACGACCAGTAGGATGCTCTACTACAGACTTCCTCTTGCTTCTCTCCTCAATCACCCTCTTATTTTCCGCCCCTCTCCGCTTAGAAGACTCCAGTTCTCGCTGAAAAAAAGGAGTCGCTGCAAAGTCTTCAAAAGGCATTCTGGGGTTGGTCAGGCCCTCTGCTGAATATGTGTCAAAAACTTTCTTGGAGCAGTAGAAGTATTTAACATCACCGCCTTGATAAAAGAAATGTATTGAGGTGCCATCACCCATGTATCGAGACTTAGGCTGACCACAGGCTAAACAGGATCTGGTGAGCTTTTTTTGTGGCATTTGCTGTTGTTGTTGCTTCTGAACTGCCTGCTGCTTCTCTATGATGTCCTTCACCATCTTTTCAAGCGCTGCCTGGTCTAGAGAGACAGCCTCAGGAACACTCTTTGCGGGTGGATTGACCGGGGCAGGTGGAAGTACTGTCACTGGGACACTGATGGTTTCACTGCCTGAATGAAGACGCTGCCATAACTGCTGTGTCTCCAGGAGCTTTTCTGGGCTGGTGTTGAGTGAAGCATTAGTGTTCTTTTTTTTAGCAAGGTGTTTTATGTACCTGCTTATGTGCTGCTTTGTGGTTGAGTGCAAAAGGCTGTTTGGGTCAGTGCAGGCACTCTGTACCATAGCAGCATATTCAGCATCCACCTTTGTCAGGAGGTCCTTGCTCCCGTGGTGCTTGGCAAGCAAACCATCAATGGCATTTCTCATTGGATCTGTCCATCTGTTATGGTCCAACACAAAGACTCGACCACCTGTCTTAATGGGTCCAGTCCGAGCAGCACAGGGAGAAGCAGCTAAAGGCAGTGGTGGTGTGCTTGGCAGTTCTAAAAGAGATTCACAAAATTATTTTAAATGAAGTATTTGTGTTTTGTGTGCATAGATTAGGCAAACAGATTACACACATAATGTAATTACCTGCATCTAAAAGAAACTCCTCAGATGTTTGTTCCTTCACTGTCACAGCACTCGGAGTAGAAAAACGTTTAAAAATCACAGTCTGCGGGGGGCCTCTGGTCCACCAGCAGGAGGGGCCTCAGCAGAAGAGGAATCCTCTAAGCATTTCTGAAATTCAGCAAAATTAATGTTATTTGTGTAAAAAAATGTTTAATAAAAAGTCTGTTATGAAAAAAATTTAAAGGCTTACCTGAGATGGAAATGAGAAGTCAGTGCCAGATGAAGACTCTTCTTGCATCCCTAGGTCTGTCTTCCTGCTTTTGTGTTTGTCGAAGTCAAGAGGCACAGGTCGACAGCCTGGCTCCACATATTGTAGGCCAAACCTCTCGCCTGTGTCCCTGCTGGAGATGTGGAAGGCTGGATATTTGGGTTGCCCAGTCACTGTTATAGATGCCCTGTTTAACTCCATCATCAAAACAGGGTCAAACACTCCAGGTAAGACAAGCCAGGCTGCTTCAGGTCAACGAGCCGCTGATAATTCCAGCGTGCCACACCAGTCATACCCTGCGCTTGGAACAGCTCAGGAGAGACGCGATTGCCCGTTACCCACTGAGCCTGGTGGAAATGAAACCCCTCTGCTGTGAAGTGCCTCTGATAGGGATCCAGATGGGCACAGCAGCTCCTTCACCCTTGACATGATTCAGTTGTAGCGTTCCCCCATATCTGTAGAGGATTCCTTCCTCCACCTCAGGGTCACTCAGGCAGCCTCTAAGGATGTGGATACGCTGAATCCACCACAATTTTAGCATCGAGGGTTTAAAAAAGGAAGATGTTGTTGGGATCCTTTGCAAGATGGAAATGGTGAAGTACTTCTTCCACTCTTTGGACCAGCTCTCTAGGATGTGGCACTTTTGTCCTGCAGTGCTCTCGGATGTGCTGCTTTGTGGGATTAGCAGGCTCAATTCCACAGAACTTGTATGCGTTTCTTCAGTTTCTCCAGGTCACTCTGATCTACTACAGAGAAGGCAGAAGAGAGGAACTGGCAGAAGGAACTATACAGAGGATGGGCTCCGAAACACATTCCCTGGTGAATCGCCGCATACAGTGAAACAAGTCTAGTTTAACCACCATGTCCTCATTGTACTTCTGGCAAGCGGCATTTACATTCTTGAGGTTTCCTGATGTAACCTCTGCCACAGTAGCTTCAGTGGTCCTCCAAGCTTCCCACTGCTGGTGCTCATACGGTCCTGGGTCCATCACTCTGAATGCAGCACAGCAGTCCCTAAGTAAATAAAAATGGAAATAAAATTTAATTTTAATGCATTCATTACATTTGCCTGTACATCTTGATGTGATGAGTGATGAAATTTGATTATTCTTACCTGTCCACCCACTGGTACTTGGCCTTGGGTATGCCAGCAGCACTGTAGCGATTGGCCATCCCACAGTACATTGACGTCAAGGACTGCTCACTCTCAGACTGCAGCATCACCAGGACAGGATCATCCAGTTCTCGTTCATCACAGCATAGGATGACATTGTGCCAGATGAGAGGGTCACTTTTCTAGCAACTTTGCGTGTGTGATCTGACCTGAACACCTGTCCAAAAGTGCCTTGAAGGAGCTGAGTGAGAACTGCCTCTTGACGTTGATATTCCTGAAGCAAGCACTCCACCAGATAAATGTGCAGACACAGACACCCATGCCACCCATCAGTGTCTTCGTAACCCCCAAACGAAGCAGGTGTGTCGTCCTTCCTCAATGCTCCTGTGATGGTTTTCTGGCCATACAGTCCTGCTTCAGCATCCCTGACGTTCTGCACCATTAGAAGGTAAGCAAGGTGGGCCCTTTCAAACTTAAGGTGAAGCACCTCAGACAGCTGGTTGGCCATATCATTGGGGGACTTTCCAGAGCGCCTCAGTTCATCCATCACCGTTTTACAGATTGCCTTCTTATAGGTGAGGAAGGCTGGCAAGATGTTTCTAAATCTCTGAGGTAGCATGTCCACCACTGTGGTTTATCAGCAAACCAGTATTTTTTACATGCCTTACAGCACAGACGTGAAGCAAGGATGTAATATTGCCCACTAGTGCCAAGGATCACTCGGGGTCTTTCCCCACCTGAGGACACACAACATGCGGATTTGGACAGCTGTAGAGACAGGGCAGGATGTAATTGTTTCTAAGCCTTTCATTATACTGTGCTCAGGTTTCCAGATGAAAAAGGGATGAGCTGGAAGTACTTTGTGACGGAAGGCCATGCTTGTCTCTATGAGCTCGGGCTGAGGTGGATAGCGCCACAAGGAGACCATATTCATGAGGTGTCTTACTGGGCGTGATCCTGGCCAAAGCCCCATGGACTCCATCTCTGTTTTCAATCCAAATCCTTTGATGAAGAGAGCAGTTCCAGTGACTAATATCTTGCAAATATCCACTAACAGGTGCTTCTGTCTG